AAGTCCATCTATCCTGTTGCTGAGACATGCCTTCACTGGTGCCATAATCTACTTTTTCAAGATTTCAACATAGACTGAAAACCACTAGCTCTCTAGAACCACCCTGGGACTCCAGACTGTGACTGCTGAGGAATTCAGTCTCGTGAACTGAACTACTCCTGGCCTTCCCATCAGGAGGCAACCACTGTTGTACTACTCAGACCTCTGCCTGTAAGCCACTTTAATAAAAAAAAAAACATTTTTTAAAAGGGATGTATGTATGTATGTATGTATGTATATGTATGTACATTATATAATAAATATATATATTATATGATATGAATAATCCAACCAAGGAAAATCTCTCACAGCTGTCTGGTTTTAGTTAATCACACACGTATATATGCATGTGTTTATGCATACACACACTCTCACACTCATTCTATCAGATCTGTTCCTTTAGAGAACCCTGATTAATACAGCAATCAACTGTCACATTAAGAATCTTGTTAGGGACTGGAAGATGGGTCAGCAGTTAAGACCACTGGATGCTCTACCAGACGACCTGGGTTCACTTCCCAGCACTCACATCTGTCTGTAACTCCAGTTCCAGGGGATCTCTCGCATCAATGTACATAAAATAAAATTAAATAAATCATTCAAAAAAGAGAATCCTGTTAGGATTCTAAAGCAAAGAATCCTTACCTTTGAAAGGTAAGATTGGAGAAAACTAAATAGTAACGAGTATTTTATGACTTAGACAAATTATTTTTTTAATTTTTAAAGGTACACTGAGATACTGAATTTAAAGGCATCTTTAAATCTTTATATATAAGGATTTTATATGCTTATATTTATAGATACATATACACATATATAAAATATTTAGAAATAATACAGTCCACGCCTGCCTTTGACTTACTTGAAAACAAACCAAGGGTGAGGGTGGAGAATGGGAAAGACAGGATTTGACAAGAATGAACTGACTGCTGTAGCTGGATGATGACAGCACTCACTAGACTTTATCTTACCATAGAGACTGGCCTGTTTAAGAACATGAGCTAATTTTTAAAATTGATTTTGAAGCAGGTGGAAAATAAGCTCAAATACTTATGATTTAGAATGTACATGTACTTTTGTCTCCATAAAATAGCAGGTAATGGCTTAAATTGTAGAGCTCTGGGTTCCCAGAAGATATAACAATATGCCTTTGAAATATTGAGTGTGAATACCCAAGCACCCCTGCCACAAAGTCAAGCATGCTGATAATAAGACAGTGGCAAGCCTCACCTCCCAGCCAGTTTCTAATTTCTAAGGAGCATAGACAGTTAAAAGCAAAATGTGAAATATGAAGAATGAGTGAGTGACCATGTTGTGACAATCCAGTAAAGCCTCTTTATAAAATCCCAAAGAAATCTCAATTTACAATCAGGTGTGGAGCCCTGATCTAGATAAAAAATGGTTACAATAAAGTTTCAAGAAATCCTTGCTAGCCTCTTGGAAGAAACTCAAGGCTAAAATTTATCCTTCCCTCCTACAAAAAGCTAGCTTAACTGGCTTATAATTATCCAGGGAATCTGAACAATCAATATTCAGGTTCTGGTACTTTCATAAAATTAATTTTGAATTAACATTTGGTGGTTTTTAGCATCCTGGTAGACCAGCTATCACGTGGTTTCAGAGAGCTATTAGTCTTGTGCTGCCTTATATGAGTGTATTCATATGCAAGTCATCTTAAATTAAAATAGTATAGGGTGGTTTGGGTTTGCTTTGAAGATTCATGAACCAAACTGGATTTAAAGTTTTTTGTGGCATTAAGAATAGCAAAGTGAGTATGTGAGTTCTCATAAAGGGATATTCTTTTCAAAAAACGTGACTGCTTATGGAATATCAGTTTATAGAAATATCATTTTTGAAGAATATTGCATTTCTGATTACTGTGTTTTACTTTAATCACTACATATCTTAAATACTACAGGGAATCATTGGAGGTTTTTTTTTAACTTGGTAAATAAGGCAATTCAGTTTTAGAAATGGGCTGAGTATTCAATTTCAGATGAAAATATGAAGTTTTTTTGTAAGTATCAAATTCTGCCACTTCTGATTAAATTATTTCCTATGTCCCATTTTGGGTAAAAAGTTCATTCCCAGAAAGCAATTGCCTTCTCAGGAGGAAAGAGGATATCATTTTCATAATTAAATACTGAAGCCTCTCTCTGAGGCTGCTGAAGTAAACATGTTAGCTAGCCTCACAGATACCCATCTCCTGCCCAGGCATCCTTCCCTCAATGCAGTGTGCCTTTACAACTCAGGGATTTAGAGAGATACCTTCTCCATGTCCGATGTACTTCTTTGATATTTCCAAAGTATAGGAGACTCAAAGGGAGAAAGAAATTTTAAAAATCAAAAACTTTAATGAAATATTAATACTCTCTACCTCTGAATTATGGTACCTAATAAGAAAAAAGAAACTTGTATAATGATACACTACACTCTGAGAATCTTCAAGGTCAGACCTTCAGGGTTAGTGTCACAGAAGGGCAGGCTGCAACACCACCTGGAAATGCCCTCAGAGATTCCAGTTCAACATCTCCTGGTGACAATGACAACTGCTGGTACCGGGAATACTTTGCATGCCATCGTTTAGACAACCAGTCCAAATCCTGGCTTTAGGATTGTGGTAATGGCTATAATACCAAGGCATTAGAGGTGGTCTTCACTTGTCTGTTAGTTTTATTTCATGTACATCCTAATTCCACCACCTTTCATTACTCAAATATGAAACACCCTTAAAAGAGAATTTAAAAGAACAAATTCTCAGGGGGCTGGAGAAACAGCTTAACAGTAAAGAGTATATACTGCTCTTGCAGAAAACCTGAGTTCATTTTCCAGCGCCCACAGTAGCTCACAACTGCCTGTAATTCCAACTCCAGGGCATCCAGGGCCCTGCTCTGGCTCTGTAGGCTCTGTACTCTGTGTATGTGTACTCATGTGAACACACTCTCAAAGAGCCACACATAAACACATAATCAAAACTAAGACTTAAACTCTTTCTTAACAATGAATTTTCAGGCTGGCAAGAAGGTTCAGTGGGTAAAGGTACTTGCCACCAAGCCCATGACTTGAATTGGATCCCCAGTACCTACATGGTGGATGGAGAGAACTCATACCCATAAACTGTCCAATGACCCCCCACATGCATGCTGTGGTGTATATGTGTAACTTTAATGAATTCTCTTGGCATTCTGAAGATATTTCAGAAATTTATATCACAGCAGGTTGGCTCACTCTTCCTAGCAGCAAATATCGATGAATGTGAGATAGGTCAGACTATCAGTAAAAAAGAGTGAAGATGGCCAGGTATGACGGGAAACTTGAGAAGTCATGCTCAAACAGGGCAGCTGCTACTAAATCCAAATAACCATCATCCAGTAGTAATAACCTTAGCATTGTGGCCAGACCTTCCAAGTTTCCCAGCCAACATGGAAATACAGCATTTTATGTAAAATCAAATTTTAAATGCGGGCAACTGAGTTTTAGTTTGTTTTTGTTTTGTTTTGTTTTTTGAAACAGGGTTTCTCTGTGTGGCCTTGGCGGTCCTGGAACTCACTCTGTAGACCAGGCTGACCTCAAACTCACAGATCCACCTGCCTCTGCCTCTGAGTACTGAGATTAAAGGTGTGCGCCACCACTGCCCAGCAAGTTTCAGTTTTTTAATACTGATAAGAGTCTAGGAGCTGTGTGTGGCTACAGCCTTTGGATTAGAAGACAGTCTCGGCTGAAGTACAGACTAGACAGATGTTAACTTGTTCCCTTATGGGGTCCAACTCCCCGTAGCCATCAGCTTCTTCCAGTAAGCACTCTCTGAGGGCCAGTAGAACCAAACTCTTTTTGCTAATGAGTAGGTTTGAGAAAACCAGGGCAAAGATAATGAAACTCTTCAGACACTAGAACTACTGACCTAAGAACGGTGACAGCATTCGAGTGACTGCAATGTCTATTTCTATGGCATCTACAACATGAAAACCCAGACAGGAATACAGACCCAAGGCCCTTTCTCACTGTAAGGTAACAGTGGTGTTGCTTACAGGCTTCCTTAAAGAACCACTAAGAAAACCAGTCTTTACAACTATACTGAAAACAACGCCACAGGCAACATGAAGGAGCAAGTGGCCCACTTCAAAGCTTGTGAGTCTACTCGGCCTCACAATAGCAGGCAGAATGCTGTAAGAATCATCCAACATTAGTTCACAAGAAAAGACAGACGGCAAAGACCGGCATGAAGAATGGCAGCAGGTGCTCCCCTATTGTGGCCTCCCTTTGTACAGTAGATTCAAAAACACTGCACCCATGTTCCTCCTGCTCTGTGTAACAGAGGGACCAGAATACCAGCTTCAAATTATAAAGTGGATTAAGACACTTCTAGCCAAGGGTTTCTCCCTGTCACTCAAGAGGAAAAGCTAAAGTCCTACTCATTATGAAGTGCCATCTGGCTCTCTACCCTCCTCTCATTCCCACTGCGTATTTTCTGATGTCACTCATGTGCGCACCAATTCATCGTTCTGCAGATACTTCAGGGTCCTTGCATCGGCCATTCTCACTGCCTGAAAAGCTGTTTCTCTGGATATTTACATAGTTCACATCCTCATTCTCTTACCTAGACTCTATTTTTCCTTCAATGTGCTATTTTTAAAACACACACACACACACACACACACACACACACACACACACACACACACACACCTGACACACCAAATGCTTCACTTATAGTCCTTCTTCTAGAATGAATCTCCATGAGGGATGGCTTTCACCTATCTGTTTACTTCTACAGGCCTCTAAGATAGTGTCAAGAACATGATGGCGCTCAAACACCATGACTTGGTAAGTGACCACACAGACTATCAGAAAAGCAGTGGCGGGAGGCTCACTCTGTAAGGAAATGGGCAAGTGCTCAGGTACAGTCAGGAAGATGACTGGACTGGATGTGTGGCACTGCGAATCCCTTCCCCACTACTCACAAACTCATAGTCTCCATCCTGTGGTATTTTCCAATCTGAAGAATTTTTCAGAGAGCCAGATACACTCTTGCCAAAGCTGTTGATCTGGTTTTCCTTTTCTTTTTGTTCAAAGTATTCAAGGAAAGATGGCTTTGCAGGTTGCATGGTCTCATCTCTTCCTGAAAAACAAGAAAAACAAAAGGTGAAAAGGAACGGAAATATCCAGTTGTGGTCAGGATGCTCACATGGGCTACAGTCTCCAGCTCAATTCTTCCTGTGGGACAAAGATCTCCTTACAAAAGTCTCTAGTGAAGCTTACTTAAGAAAAACACACAAATTGCCACTCAAAGTACTTCTTACAGAAATCCAGATTTTGAGGTTCCCTGTAACATATGTAAATGTTTTCCCAGAGTCCTTATTTCTAAACAGAAAGATATGAATACTTCAATGATTCTGAGAAAGCCTCAATAATAACTACATTATTGTTGTTCTTTTTAGTATTATTGGCTTCCTATAGCAAATAATTATTGATGCACTTAAGCTAAAAATATCTGAGAAGCAAACAAAAATACTTGTGTCCATCATATTCACTATTCTCTATAAGCAATGTAGCAGATAGAGGATGACACGGGAGGCAACTGCTCCTTAATAAGTTCACGTTCCAGTTGAAAGAAGGAGACAAATATGCTTGAAAATAAAATACAAGTTAAGAACAGTCCTTCCATTTGTGAATCACTGCATAAGATTCTTCTGGTGCTGAAGACCAAAACCGAAGCCTTGTACATACCAGGCTAAGGGTTTCTATTTGTTTGTTTGTTTGAAGCAGGGTCTCACTTTGCAACCATTTTTCTATTTATTTACTCATTTACTTATTTGCTTGTTCATTTGAGACAGGGTCTCACTTTGTAGCCCTGACTGGCCTGGAATTCACTATGTAGACCAGGCTGGCCTCAAACTCACAGATTCTCTGGACTCTGCCTTTCAAGAGCTGGGATTAAAGGCACGTACCACCATGCCTGGCCCACAAATAACTTAATATATTTTTCATGAATGATTTGTGTGGGATACCATATCATATGTATAGCATGAACTACCCCTCTGTAAAATCATACACCATGAGGAAAAATAACCACAAAATAGTAAATAAACCTGTCAGATATTTGTCTTCTTTCTCATAAAATAGTAAATAAACCTGTCAGACATTTGTCTTCTTTCTCATCATCCACCATTTCAGCCAATCTCAAGATTGTCCCCTACGATGATACTACCCACTGCTTACTATGTTGCTACTTCCTTCTTATGGGGGAGTCGATTTAGAGTTTGCTAAGACCTGCCAATCACCTAAGAAGAACATGTTGTACTATTTTATGTGTTCTGTGTAAACACTAGGTGTTTCTTATATTTGCTTTGTTAGTTATCAAGATTCATTATTATTACATACCAAAAAACTACAAGAACTGTAATAAAACAAATCTTGTGAAAATGTAACCCTGAACTGGCTGAGGAGACAGGAAGCCATGTTCTGTGCCCAGTCCCTTCCTCTGGGAACACAAAGGGAAGGACTGGCTCTAAGACAGTTTCACACTGACCCTTGACCTAATGCTACATATGAACAAGGAGTATCAGAAAACCTAATGCCAACCAGCCTGGAGACTGCTGGGCTGACATAGTCAGAACATGGTAACCATACAAAATACCCTAAGATCACTCACTGGGCAGCTGAACAGACTAGAAAACTCAGAAAGTCCAAACTATTACATAGCTGTTTGGGGAAAGATTACATTGGATATGTATCTCAAACTTCCAAATGGATTAACAATAACTACAAAAACAGAAACTATAAACTCAGAGGAAAATGTAAGAATGCATTTAAAGCCTAACTGTGACAAAGGTTTTCCAACTGTGGTAAAACAATATTTATATAAAGTAGGATACTTCATGTGTGGGAAGGAAACAGCACAAAGTTTAAAATTATTAAATGATATAAAACACAACATTATAAGCCAAACTAAAAGACAAATTATGGGAAGAAAATGTTTACAACAAATAACATAAAACGTTTTAAAGAACTTATTTTTTTAAAGAAAATTGAAGTCAGGTGGTGGTGGTGGTGGTGGTGGTGCACACCTTTAATCTTAGCACTTGGGCAGATCTCTGAGTTCTGAGGCCAGTTTGACCTACAGAGCAAGTTCCAGGACAATCATGGCAACACAGAGAAACCCTGTCTGGGGAGGGGGAGAGGGAGAGGGAGGGAGAGAGAGAGAGAGAGAGAGAGAGAGAGAGAGAGAGAGAGAGAGAGAGAGAGAGAGAGAGAGAGAGAGAGAGAGAGAGAGAGAGAGAGAGAGAGAGAGAGAGAGAGAGAGAGAGAGAGAGAGAGAGAGAGAGAGAGAGAGAGAGAGAGAGAGAGAGAGAGAGAGAGAGAGAGAGAGAGAGAGAGAGAGAGAGAGAGAGAGAGAGAGAGAGAGAGAGAGAGAGAGAGAGAGAGAGAAGAGAGAAGAAGAAGAAGAAGAAGAAGAAGAAGAAGAAGAAGAAGAAGAAGAAGAAGAAGAAGAAGAAGAAGAAGAAGAAGAAGAAGAAGAAGAAGAAGAAGAAGAAGAAGAAGAAATTGTGAGGATACTTTGTGGATTTGGGAGATAAGAAACCAATATGTAAACAATTTTTTAAATCAAAGGAGACCCTGAAATAGGAGTAGATAGTGGATTTAAGATTGGTAGCACACACAAAGCTACCCAACTGCTCCTCATAAAGGTATGAAGAAATACTTTGGTTCACTTACCAAAGAAACTTAAACTAAAGCCACTTGAGGAACCACTTCATAACACTTCAACCGGCAAAACTTTAAACTATGAATGCACCCACGGGAAGTGGGGATCAGCCACTCCCACATAGCTGGACCAACTGTACCATGTTAACTACTGTCACCAGGACTGGCATGAATAAGTGTAAAACCAGTAACCAGAAGCAAACACCAATAGCTTGTAGTGATGACCCTCAACTAGACCTTTTAAAATAAGTTTTTCAAAAGGATCTTGGCAAGTCTTTTTGACTCAAGGACACCAAGCCATAGCACCCCAACACCACTGAGCATGCCCAGTACAGATAGGAGTTTGTAAAAATCCCTCCTCTCCTGGAAACAAGGATTTCTTGAGGGCAACAGCAAATTCCAGGACTAAGGAAGAAGAATCATGAAGTGAGTCTCCATCTTATTAGACAAGCAACTATTAAGCTACACCCAGAGACCAGTGCAGCTCACAGCCCTCATCAGAGAAGTTTCCTCTTGTAGTAGATGGTGACTGACACAGACTGGACAATGTGTAGAATGAGACTTTGGAGCCCTTGGCCAGAATGGATGCCTTTTTCTGAGCTCTCACCTCAAGGCTCAGGGATTCATGCAGGAAAAAAGACAGCAAGACTGTTAAGACCCAGAGGTGATAGAGACTCAGAGATGAGGTATCTTCCAAACAGAAGAGAGCTGGTGCACACATGATCAGAGGACAGCACACACAAGACCTCACAGTCTCAAACCAGACAAGACACCAGCATGGAGAAGGGCAAGTGTTCCACTCCCAGCCAAGAAGCTATTTGCCACTGATAGTTGTTAGAAAAAGGAAAGATCCGTTTTCTTCAGTGGAGTGACACTGGTTCTACCAACCACACTCCAGGGCAGGCCTCATGCTCAGAAGTAGCATTTTTTGGGCCAACAAAAAAATGGAATCGAATCTAGTGTGTGTGTGTGTGTGTGTGTGTGTGTGTGTGTGTGTGTGTGTGTGTGTGTGTGTGTGTGTGTGTGTGTGTCTGTGTCTGTGTCTGTGTCTGTGTGTCTGTATGCATTGCTGTGAAATCCTCTTAGAAGCAACCAATTGCAATGGTTTGATGTCGCCCAACTGGCACCCCCCACTCCCACTCCTTTTTGAGAAAAACAGAGTCTGGGATCCTAATAACTGGGAAAATTCCATCTAGTTGAAGTGTCTGTAGCAGTCTCTAGAAACTTTATAAATGTTAATAGGAGGTGTGGCTCTTCATAGATGCTCAAACACTTACTAAACTGGGCTATTTTTAGGTCCTATGTATTTCTATTAAGCCTCAGACCATGCATATCTTGAGGGCTAATAAATTATTAATGCAATAAACTAAGACTACTGTAACCAATTAAAGAATCAATTTTTAAAAGCTAATGGGCATTTGAGAGGTACGTAGGGGAGAACCACCACCACCAATGGAGGACACTACAAACACCAAAAGGAACACATTATGACATGGGCTACACAGAGAATTACAGGCCAAACTGTGCTACAGTGACACTGTCTCAAAATTAATTAATTAATTAAATGTAATGTAAAATAAATACACAAAATTTAAGTCAGAGATAAGACTCAAAACATTTTTGTGGCTTAATTCTAAATCAGTCCATAAAAAAAAAAAATCAAAAGAATACTAGGAGACTATAACGTGTCTATTTCTATCACTATTTAGATGAAAAAGTGACATTTGCTTTCCTCATATTTCAATTTACTTGACAATAGCCCTTCACAACCCTCTTACAGATTCCTAATATTTTCAGAGCTAAAACAACTATTCTTTGTCTCTTTCAACAACTAGAAATTATAAATAAGAAATTCTATCAATGTCTTTGCTTTCACCTTGTGCTAATGTCAGGGACTTCATTGTCCCTGACATAAATTAGAATTCAGAGGCACCCTCAAACTATGTTTTAGAATTAGATAACTTTTTTTTCTAACCATATATTCAGACATAAATATGCTGTGAATGAAAGTCATGCTTTTCTTAGGAATTTAATTATAGCTAAACAATCAACTAAAGATTACACACGCCAAGTTATCAAAGAGGTCAGATGATTTCAGAGATCTTTTGGGGGATCCTCTGGGGTGTGGTGTTCCTAGGAATCAAACCCAGCCTTGTGCGTGCTAGGCAAGCAGTCTCCCAACTGAGATATGTCCCTATCCCCAAAGGTAACTTTGGAAATAGCACAACAGATTAATTCCTAGCCTGGGGCTTTATATTGTGCACATGTTTCCAAGATTTCTTTTAATTGAGATAGTCCCTATACCAGAAGGTACAATGATTTAAACTTCTTGACCTGACTATACATCGCCAGCAGAGACTTTCAAATCTTATGTATTCCACTTCAATGTTAATACATTTCAGTGAGCTTCCCAGT